TGGAGGATTCGCACACACGGCGACACACTGTGCTTAAAGCATTTCACGCCTCCTCCTCCTCCATCCATCAAACAAATGAGGTTGGACTAATTTCGCCAACATCACACATGAGCCTCGCAATGGCACAAATCGTGTGCTTCACCAAAGTGAAGTAATGGTCAACAACACGTCGACCGCGTTACAGCGTTGCAGATTTAGAGGACGACCCAGCAGTACATTTGGACTTTGAGTCGTTTCACCCGCCATTGCTGACTTGCATCTCAGTTGGCATTAAGAGCGAAACGAGTCGAGTGGAGTTGTGTTGGTGCACCAACCGGACGAGCATAAGGCGGGGTGAGATGGGGAAGACGAAGCACGCACCCAGGTAAAGCCGATCCCTCCAATTCCACTGCCAATGATGTCAGCACAAACGGCTGGATAGGAATTCGCCATCACCAGGTACGCGTGAAAGTGTGGATGGTTCCAGTGAGTCACCTAAACCAAATCATACAAAGCCTGAATGAGCACAAGCAAAGTGCGTACTGTGCGCGTAGACTGGTAAGTTGAGGTGTCGTAGGGACAAATTCAAGTCCAAGCAGTAGACACAGACACTGACGCTTTCAATGTGCCACGAGTCACTTCCTTACGCAACGCAAGTAGGCAAAAACTGGCAAAACATTGTGTGCAATGCTTGGAAGTGAGAAGTGAAAGTGGTGGAGTGCGAGACGTTGAGCACGAATAAACTTCGCTTTGCTTGAACAGATTGTGCCTTGGTTACCTTCCACGCCCAGTCTTCAAACAGCAATGCATGAGCAAAGCGCGTTTCGAGGCGACGAGTCCAATTGTAAGTGGTGGAGGCGCAGTGGCGTTGCAGCACACTCACCTCGCCGATCATATTGTGAAGGTGAAGATGTTTCTACGGGTGTGGGTGGAGACCAGCTTTCGTGCGATTGCAGCTCCAATGTGCCAACATGATTGTAATCCGTTGCCTTTTCGCGAAGTATGTTCAGGCAGAGGTGGCAATGGATGGTGCATTACACACAAAGGAAACTGTATGCGAGCAAACAAACAATTGGAAGAAAGGTGCGTGGTGGTGGGTGAGGATATGATCTGGCAGGGCAGTGACTTAATCGTCTCTACAGTGTATGCATCTCGTGCGCGTAAAATGTGCTGACTAGGTTGAGCGAACAGCCTACCCCGGGTAGGAGCAGTTGGTGCACATCGTCGAAGATGGTTTGCATATCAACGCCCTCCCGTGGTGGATTGGCTGGAAGCTGGGCCACGAGAAATCCCGGCTGCACGGTGGGAAAGGGTCGATGCTGCTCCACCTCCTCCAGGTAATCCACCGTCATGTCCACGGCGGTCTTGCAGGCGATCCGCATTTCTGACAGGTATTTGCTTGCCACTTCACGTCCAACTGTTAATGTACAAATTTTCGTTTATCCCCTCACGCGCACACAACAACTTACGCCAATCCAAAAGCACTTTGTCAGCGTCAACAAATGTCATTCTGTGCACTTGTGATCGTGTTTCCCGCATAGTTGGCTCTTTTATGCGCTACTTCTACATCATGACGAGCAAATTTCGGCGTTCCTCACTGCTTGAAACTTGCTATCGCCACCACTATCACACCAACACTGACGACAAGGCAGAGGCACGCAGTAAACGGCTACCCTCAAACGGAACTAACTGCATTGCAGGTGCAGGTCGTCATTTACAGCCACCTCTGACTCACCTTACTTAAGCATGCACAGCTAA